CTGACTAGGCGGTGCAGACAATCGATGTCCGATGAGTCAGCTTAATGCGACGTGTTTGTGCGTATGAGAAAAAAGACAAGCCTCGCGATCCAGTGAGCGACTGTGAGTTGAACAGTCAAGTATGTGGGTGACTGGGTCGCTACAAAAGCACGGTCAACACAACTTATTGTGACCTTCTTTGGTTCGCTCTATCAAAAATGAGGCATCCAGTCTCCCACTGATAACAACTTAATTTGAGTGTTTGTCGGAATCTCAATATTTGTTCCAAGTGAGGCTTTCTATTATCTTCCGGCCAGGATGTCTAGTCGGAGAATAAATGAAATGAAAAAAATAAATGAATAAAATAAATAAATGAATAAATGGGTTTTCTCACTAGAGAATGCTCAGGTCATAGACGAGGAGTTCCATAAAGTGGACTTTTCTTCATTCGTCTCATTGCTGTTCAATAGGGTCTGGAAACCCGGCAATATCTAACTATCCGTCCGTCGGTGCCACGGCATCTGGAAACCGAAGACGTGCAGCGACTGAGCAGAGCGATTTGTTTCCTTGCTTGGGTTGCACGCGATTACGAAACGACATGCAAATTTTGACCGGAAATAATGTGTACTGTTATGCGCAAATTGTTTGTTTTCTCACAACCTAAGACAATCTGAGTAATATCACATGAACGTAACACACTACTCACGAAGTTGCTGATAACTCTTCGATAGATCACGACTGGTTTCGTCATTCTTGGGGCTCATCAGATAGGCGCAGTCGCCCAGTTTCTCTCGGCATGATGAGCTACAAGAAGGGCAAAATCGATTGTGGGCTGTCGAAATTTTCAGCAACCATATAAGTGGTGCGTTATGTCTATAGAATGTACTGCGATACTGAAACATGGGGAGGCCTGATGCAATACATTCAGTCAAAGAAGAACATAATTTAGGTCCCCCGTGAAAAGCAAATTGGTGGGAAAACGAGTATATTTCACTAAATGATATTCCCTTCTGCATCATCACATATTTCCCACTTTCGGTGAACATTGAACCAAAACTACAGTGTTCCCAGTTCGATCAAACTCACCCTTCCACTCCTCTCTCTTTATAGCGAAAATGCATTGAATATGCCTTGAAAGCGAGACCCCGACGCCGCTACATTCCCAAAGGTCACTTGCAATACAAGATCTGGTCAGTTGTTGTATCGAAGAAATTTGAAATTTTCATCTTCGTCTGTATCTTCATCAATACGGTGGCACTCACGCTTAAGGTTAGTGTTGCCCCATTTTTCCGACAGAATGGTGTATGTTTGTTCATTTCACTCGTCTGTTAACACCACGCCTCTTCGCTAGATTTTTCACTACTTTTTCGGTGGCTTCGCCTCGCAGGCGAACTGTTCGATGAGTATTTTGGGTTTCATAACATTCGGTGTCAGCATCCCATATTTCATCCACATCAGTTTGGTTCCTCTGGTATTGCTGACTCTACTGGAGCATTCCATAATTGTTATCGTCTGCCATTGAGTTACAAGAAGCACAACTCCGATGCCTTAATGACTCCACTATGAGAACTGGTGCTTGTTGTCCTAGTGGTTGATGGAGGATTTAGACACAAATCCGACTCTGCAGGTGACCACCACCACAACATCGTCAGACACAAACAAAGTGGTTAGGATGCTTCGACTTTAACCTCCAATCTCTTATTATAAACTAGAAACATTACATTGCCGTCATGGCAGACCATCATTAGTGATTGGNCGGCATCTGGAAACCGAAGACGTGCAGCGACTGAGCAGAGCGATTTGTTTCCTTGCTTGGGTTGCACGCGATTACGAAACGACATGCAAATTTTGACCGGAAATAATGTGTACTGTTATGCGCAAATTGTTTGTTTTCTCACAACCTAAGACAATCTGAGTAATATCACATGAACGTAACACACTACTCACGAAGTTGCTGATAACTCTTCGATAGATCACGACTGGTTTCGTCATTCTTGGGGCTCATCAGATAGGCACAGTCGCCTAGTTTCTCTCGGCATGATGAGCTACAAGAAGGGCAAAATCGATTGTGGGCTGTCGAAATTTTCAGCAACCATATAAGTGGTGCGTTATGTCTATAGAATGTACTGCGATACTGAAACATGGGGAGGCCTGATGCAATACATTCAGTCAAAGAAGAACATAATTTAGGTCCCCCGTGAAAAGCAAATTGGTGGGAAAACGAGTATATTTCACTAGATGATATTCCCTTCTGCATCATCACATATTTCCCACTTTCGGTGAACATTGAACCAAAACCACAGTGTTCCCAGTTCGACCAAACTCACCCTTCCACTCCTCTCTCTTTATAGCGAAAATGCATTGAATATGCCTTGAAAGCGAGACCCCGACGTCGCTACATTCCCAAAGGTCACTTGCAATACAAGATCTGGTCAGTTGTTGTATCGAAGAAATTTGAAATTTTCATCTTCGTCTGTATCTTCATCAATACGGTGGCACTCACGCTTAAGGTTAGTGTTGCCCCATTTTTCCGACAGAATGGTGTATGTTTGTTCATTTCACTCGTCTGTTAACACCACGCCTCTTCGCTAGATTTTTCACTACTTTTTCGGTGGCTTCGCCTCGCAGGCGAACTGTTCGATGAGTATTTTGGGTTTCATAACATTCGTTGTCAGCATCCCATATTTCATCCACATCAGTTTTGTTCCTCTGGTATTGCTGACTCTACTGGAGCATTCCATAATTGTTATCGTCTGCCATTGAGTTACAAGAAGCACAACTCCGATGCCTTAATGACTCCACTGTGAGAACTGGTGCTTGTTGTCCTAGTGGTTGATGGAGGATTTAGACACAAATCCGACTCTGCAGGTGACCACCACCACAACAACATCGTCAGACACAAACAAAGTTGTAAGAATGCTTCGACTTCAACCTCCAATCTCTTATTATAAACTGGAAACATTACATTGCCGTCATGGCAGACCATCATTAGTGATTGGTTTCATAGTGGAGGTCGTGCACATCCAATCCAATTCACGTGTTTGATGGATAGAAGCGATTCAGATTTGTGTTGTTCAATACTCGAGCAACCTTCGAACGCGATTACTGTGCAACAATATTGTCGGATGAGGGCTTCCGGCCCGAGATCTTTGACGATTGAGTACCTCGAAAGGATCTCCGTGGTTTGAAAAGATATTTCCACCTCGATCCAGGAGAAATTTATTGTCGAAACCTCATTCGTTTGAGAATATAGCAATAGACTGTGGCATGTTTTGTCGGCCTTATTTTGCTTTGGAATTTGATGAAATGTCGGTGGCGCTATATGCACAGTGTAGTTTTTTCGAATTACTGGTCAGTATCAGTCTCTAAACTAAATGCTCTATTTGGGAAATACTCTCATTTGCAAATCGATTTGGTTTTCATGAGAGACTCAACTGAATCTCTCGTTCATGATATTCTACAACTGAATGTGCTGCACGCAGGCCGCCTCATGTTTCAGTTGGTACGATATTCGAGATATCGCAGTGTATTTTCATAAAGGAAACTACTCACAACGTTGCTGAAAACTCTTCGATTGATTCAAGTAGATATCACCACCACTAGTCGTTCAGAAATTGTCTAGCTCGCCGTAAAAGACTACCCTTGTGCAAATAATGACAAATTTTTGTAGTGTTAAAGCTCAAAACTATCCACTACGATTACTGTGTATTGTTGTCACCACGGAAGTGCCAATGTAACTACTCCTGGGCTACCTGAATGACTTAGAAAGAAGAACACCAGCTGGGAAACTGATGCATGCCTGTACGACCGAGTTTGGTGATCCGTAAACACGAAGCGACTCCGTACTCCGGTTGATACGCAATGGACAGGAACCACTGTGACGTGTTTGCATGGGTGAGACCATCGAGATCACGTTGAATAGACACCCACACAAAAGAATGCGGGAGTCATACAAGCACAAACAAGTGCCACATGAGTCGAAGTAAATACTACACGCGGGATAAGACAAAAGTCCCATGGCCCAACACAGCAAAAAGTGGTAATCAATCTAACTAACCAGTGCTTGTGATGATAGTTAGTAATTCCCAATGGAGGTTCGTCCTTTCAGCGAACGGAAATGTACTGTGCAGCTGTTTCATCTTTGTTGGTAACCATTAGCATCGTGTACGTCTCATGAAACTCCAGTAGGGATTTTCGAGCACACGACCTTCCGGCCAATGATTGAACACAAACACCTGAACAACAGTGTGATCACTTAGATATAACATAGCACCACTCATCTTTCAGTCACGGGATCTAAATTATGTGGTCACGTATGGTCTTTCTCCTCGACTGATAACTTCTGTCCCGTGTGTCCTGTGTAGCCACCCAGCTAAGCATACATGGGTGAACCGATCTAAATTGTTATCAGGTTATAGAATGACTGGCGAAAGGCTAATAGATCGCTCTGAACCCTCAAATAAGGTTGAAGATATGCAACTCATCACTGACTCCATCAACTGGAAGTCTCCAGGCCTTTGACTGTCCGTATCCCGAGATATTGACCGTGTCAATGCAGCTATCTGATCCGTTATACTGAGGCGCCTCAAATGATTTTCGGGAATAGCTGTGCAAACCACGAGAAAGCCGGAGGAGATCGGTGAGGCAACTCATAGCCCTTCTGCTTCAGCTATATGAAAGATCCGCATGTGGTTGGTTTACAGCCTTGTCTCCACGACCACTTTCCGTATGTCAATCAGCTCAGCAGTTAGAAGCACACGGGGGTACAGACTGTACGGAACTGTCCCATCCCTCTGCTATTGAGTTTGAGCAACATTCGAAATAAATTTATCTTGATCCATTTCTTCTACTGTGAAGCATAATACTACAGGTCGAGGGAAAAGACGTTTGTTAGAAACGCCTTGATGAATTATTGCGTCTAAACACGAGAGAACTGTTCGCTGCCTCGTGATGTGGTCTCATTTCTTGACGAAGTTTACTGCTGTTAAACATCGTTTGTTTCATTGACCATAGACTATCGCCTGGTGTATGCGTGTTACGTTCTTGATAGATCTCTGTATCCACTTATTCTCTGCCTAAGACAGCAACTGGGCGGAAAGGTCTGGACAATCACGGATTTGCCCTTGACTGTGGGATTTCATGTATCTTTCGCTCTACTGTGCGCTATGCAGTACGTTTAGTATCTTACAGATAGTATGCTCACGTAAAAGGCACCTCCGACAGCACGGTGAGTAAGTTGTATCGACGGAGTCGATTCCTAGGTCACCTAAACCGTGAATCATTATTTTCTGGACTTTTGCTAATAAGACATATTCATGGACGGAGTCGTTCCTAGGTCACCTAAAACCGGAAACATTATTTTCTGGACTTTTGCTAATAAGACATATTCATGCTTATCACAATGGCTGTTTCCATAATCCATGTCATGAATCTACACTTCCTTTCAGTACGATGGACAACGCAAGGAATGGGGAAAGTTGTTGGATTCGCTCAACTACTTTTTCACAGCCATTTTCACGGTCGAATTTGTACTTCGGCTATCTGCCTTCAGCTTCCGAGTAAGTTCGTGTGTTGCTCTTTGTGTGTTCAGCGGAGCTTTTGGTGTGTGTGTGTGTGTGTGTGTGTGTTCACAGCAGTTCCATCAGGCAGTGAGTAATCTTTGATCCCGTCAACACCAACTTTGTCCCAGCGTTTTGGCTGCCGTGGGTAAATTTTGCCGAGGTTTTTTCTTTAAATGGATGAATACGTTCTAGAAACCCTGTGTCTCTATTGATTTGACCACTGCCTTAGTTCCATTGTCTGACATGGGTGAACGACATTGTGGGTATGTCAATTCGAGTCTCTGTGTTAGTTGCTCTAGCTGGTGGCCCCATTCATTAAACAACTACCGAAATGAAATATTTGATGTGCTTGTTTGCTCCTTGATTCGCTCCAGGATACAATAAGGATAATAATAAACAATAAATGATGACAAACAGAATTGCTCATTTCCAAACCCACAATCAATTCTTCGGTTTGCTGACAACTTCTTTCTCATTCCCTTTAAACTAGCATTATTTCAGCGATGTGTGGAATGTGGTCGACTTCATTTTGGTTCTTGGAAGCTACTTGGATATTATTCTGACTCAGGTATGTTTTGATTGCTATCGCCCCTTCGTTCTGGGCCTAATTCTCTCTACGCTCACCTATATATACTCCCGATTTCGATCGGCAACGATCACCTAACACTTTCGTTTGATTTCATCTTCAGTCGGATGTAAAGGTAACCAAGTTCAGCGTTAATTTCGTCCGACTGTTCCGTGTGATGCGTTTGGTCAAACTACTGAGCAAAGAAGAATCTATTCGGCAGCTGTTGTGGACTTTCATTAAATCAATACAGGTAGGTCAGGACTTATTCAATGATGCCCCGTTTCCCACACCACCTGCTACGAAATATAAATGAACTGAACTTTTATGAATGAATCGTTTCGATTTGTCAGGACTAATTTCAAAATGCTCTGTGACAGCCTTTGTGTGACATCCCCCGCTTGACAAGACGGTTTGAACATTGGCGGTGTGTCTGCATTTCCTTTGTTATTGATTTCTATGACCTATTGATTGTTAGGTACCCGCAGAGGGATGGTACAATTTTTCGGCGATTCATACGCCACTGCTTGCTGTTGCTGGTCCAGATACTAAGTTCTAACTTTGGTTGTGGACACCAAGGGCTGCGATCAGTTTGCTAAATACTCCTCGACAGTTTCGCCCTTCCTGGGACTCATCAGGTAGATACAATCCCCGAGTTCCCCTGATGTTCTATTTGAACAACAGGTTTTAAACAACTAGCAAAGTACCCTCGTTTACAACTTACTTTGGTGTTGATGTGGAAATCAGATGGAACTCTGGTTGCCTGAAAACAGGTTGTCCTAGGAAACAGTGAGGCTGTTATTGTTAGGATAGGTTTGCTTTTGACGCAAGCGCGGTCACACATTTGGCGGGAAAACTCACATGGGAGATTGACTTATTTTCGCCACAATACGTCTTCACGTCCAGGTGCTCTAAGTATAGGAAGAATAGCACTGGTTAAGACAAACGGCCGACCACTAGAAGCAAACTGAAATTGATTTCGCTGAAGCTACGGGGTTTCCGAAGTGGAGAATTTTGCACGAAATTAGTGTAGTCCGACTGCGCGTTCCAGGGATATTTTGGTCATGGCTGTTTGTTTAGGTGAGCGAGCTTTCAATGTCGAAAAAACCTCCGTAAATCCAAAACTTTGCGAAGGTTAACGTCTTGTGGTGTCCTCAAAATCTGAGGCGACTTGTACATAATTTCCAGTTGAAATTCCACTTAGCTGGATACCTGGAACACATTTGGATCCCTTCCAGTTGAATTGGTTCACAGATTTTCGACACACCACTGCTGTTTACAACCTTCGTCTAGCGCTGAGTACAATAGTCAAAGATGTAACCAGTCAGGAGATAATGCATGGTTCACCGGCAATTCGCGTGTGAATATGCAGCCATTCTGACGAGACATCTTTCCCTGGAAAGACCATAACGTCAGAAAACTCAATTCTGTGGGAAAAAGTAACGAAATTACTAGAATCTATAGCCAAATGTGGCCCTTCGTAATCATAAACACATGCGTTGTCGCTGTGTCATATCCGCGCCTGGACATTATAAGACCACCGTTGGCGAAGTACTTTTATTTGTTTGATGCACCGGTACAGATATACTGGCTGGTAACTGTTTCCTGTTTTCCTTAAACCCAGATCATTCTACGATGATTCGTGTATTCCTTGGGCGCAAAAATTTGGGGCATCTTACTGTTGTGAAGGCTAACTTACCAACTGCTCAACTAGTCCCGGTGTCGACAATGAAGGTTAGGTGTCCTCATCGATGTGGTGATGTTGAGACTCAGTGATCATACGCACTAGGATTTGAGGACCTTAGGTGTCCTCACACAGGTACCCATCGATGTCGTCTTCCGACGAATCAGTGAGTCGGCCGGTGCTTGGTGCCCAATCTGCTTCATTAGAGCAGCAGACTAAACTGCGGAAGACCTGGAAGACGTACGCGGGTGGATTCCGATTTCATATCAGTACTTTGCTGTTACGTATCTGGTACTGTGTGACATGTGCAAAAAATTTCACCAGTATCAGCTTTAGTAGTAAACAACTCCCAAATGACCCAATGAAAGTACTTAGCGTTTTCTGTAACTGGTCTTGCTGCTATCTGGTAGTCTTTATGGTATGGTTGAACCTTGCGAAAGGTACTCCCGACCAGTATAGCCTGCAGGGTTAGAGTGGTAGTCAAGCCCGACTGCCACTTCTAGGTGCAGCATGGTTGGATGAACGGCTTGAAACGGACCTGAGAAGTATTCACTAGCGTGAAGATCATTTGTCTTGGCTTGATCCGAATGGAAGATCTGGAACGTGCATACATAATTTCAATGTATTGTTCTCAGTCTGCCCCGAAGTTGGACAGAATAGTTTAATCGCAACAGCTTTCCGAGGCAAGTTCGGCTGGGCTTCCGTGGATCCGTTGAGGTCCACATCGTGGCATGCCCTTTTTGGCCGATCGCTTGATAGCTGCGTTTAAAGGACATACCAGCGACTAAAGAAACTGATTTCACTGTCATATGCATACTCACTTGGTGGAACCGCCAGCAGAGCTTCCCCACACGGCGGACAAGGCTCGTTGTCACAGCAATAGCCGTCATGTGATTATCGGTCTCGGGGACACCAGCGATTAGCAGTGTCGGGTCGCTAGGTACACTGTCTGTTGATGTGGACCACCACCTAGGTTTGATAGGATTACCCTCCAACACTGGGGATTGGCTGTCCAGACCAGTGTTGCATAAAATCAGCTGTGTCACAGAATACATTTGTATAATATAGTTATCATAACAAAAATGAATTTCATCCACACCTTCTACTTTCAGGCTTTACCGTATGTAGCTCTCTTGATTGCGATGATCTTCTTCATCTACGCTGTCATCGGAATGCAACTGTTTGGGCAAATCTCTATCAAGGAAGAACCGGGTGAGGAGGAGCCCATACTTCATAGAAGTAATAATTTTCAGGATTTCTTCCACGCGTTGTTGGTTTTGTTCCGGTAAGTGCAGTTTCAGTTTTTATTCAATCTAATGACCGGTATTTTGAAGTCAACCTTAGATATCTGTTTATTAAAAACTGTGGATCCAGTACCAAATTTCACAATCTATTGTTGTTGGGGTGCCCAAAGCTTACCAAGTTTTTTGGAAATACATTGCACCTTGTGACTTTAGATGTCGTGTACTTCTAGGTTTTGAAGTGAAGAAGCTTCTTGATGATGATCCGGTTAGATCGGAACGACAGAATGGAAGTGAGACTTTGACCAGTGGTCGTAAACACGATCAATGTGACAAATCGTACGTTGTACGTACCGAGGAGAGGACTCAACAAGACAGCCTCAGTCCGAATCGCATGGATAGCTTCATAAGAATAGGTTGCTTCACTGAAGGCTCCATAATATTTCAAGGAACTACTAAGTTTTTTTTGTGGAACCAAGTTTTTGGACCAGCTTCAGGCTGTGTCAGCCAAGTTACGTTGGTGCCGGACTGAGAACTGGTTCTTTTCCCTTGTAGGTGTTCCACTGGAGAGGCCTGGCAAGACATCATGCTAGCATGCACAGCAGGTAAGATGTGCCCCGAGAGCTTGGTGTCCGTCTAACTAGACCGAACAGACTTTTGTATTGAGTGCCTTTTTCCGCAATATTCGGTTGCTCTTAAAGCTCTGAGAACAACTGAGCAAAGCACAATCTAGCACCAGTCAATGTTTTTCCTTACCCCCTCGCTTTCTTATTCCACAGGTCGAGCGTGTGCCGAAGGTTCCGATGAAAAAGGCACCAAAAGCTGCGGTTCCAACTTGGCCTATCTTTACTTCATCAGTTTCCATGCGATCAGTGCATTTTTGGTAAGTTCCTCTTCACTCCCAAACTCCGCGGGGCCCTGAAGTGAGACCCAACGTCCAAGAAAAATTCGGTAAACAGTCAATCAAGTTATTGCAGAGCACACTAAGCTTCGTAAAGCCGAGTGACGTGTGTACCGTGTTGGTCGTGTTTTAGTACGAAGCAGAAGGGATCTCGCTGATTGGTCCGTCATCTGCCCTATTATTCAACCCCACTTGACCCTTCGCCCAGTTGATCGGGTAAAACCTTTGTGTCAAAAGAGGAGTGTGGCGCAGCAATACATTCACCGGTTGGTCGGCAAGTTTTTTCAAGTAATGAATCCGCGATCTCAACGCCTCCCAGTTGAGAGATTCGGGAATGTTTTTGCTCGATAGATGTATGAACCTATGTGGTTTACACAGCACTAGACTCAGTCTTATATTAGGTTTTTTCTAATGGTGGGATGAGGCGCGCTGGAAGGAACGCAGGAAAATCACCTGCAAGGGTCTCGGACGCGGACATCTGAGGGTCATGTTGGTTCCAGCACACAGGGAACATAGGTAAACACATAACCGATCTATCAATCGCTGGATTGATACGCAGCTCAGATCAGTTTGCTTCCAGCCCAACAACCCGAAAAGTCACTCACTTTTCACTCACATCAACATTTTAGTGCGCCACGTCAAGTTAGACTTTCTAGGTGCACAGGGAGCCGGATGGCTACATTAGGACATTCGATTAATACACTAATCTGCATACAAATTTGATTTAGACGGTAAACTCATCTGGAATCCAGCCCAATCTCTTGTTTATGTTTTTCATCTGAATGTACTGCACCAGGCCGCTCCGTTTTTCAGTTGGCGCGATGTTCGAGATAGTGCTATACGATGTACCAAACTACTTATAAGGTTACTGAAAATTCGTCGACAGCCGATGACTGGTTTCGCCCTTCTTAGCACTCAACTGGTAGCAAGAGTCTCCGAATTTCCGTCAACTTTGTGTTGACGGTTATCTTACCTATCAAAATACGGCAATTATTAGCAATTATTAGCAGTCCTTGTATTAAGAACCTATTAGTGCACAGGTGATGATAGTCATACGCCCTTCTTCTCAACTGGTAGCAAGAGTCTCCGAATTTCCGTCAACTTTGTGTTGACGGTTATCTTACCTATCAAAATACGGCAATTATTTATTATTATTAGCAGTCCTTGTATTAAGAACCTATTAGTGCACAGGTGATGATAGTCATAATACAAATCAGAAGTTGATTGTGCACTAATAGAAGTTTTTAACATGGTTGCGACACGTATAAAAATGCATACAATGCGGAATGGGAGCAAGTCAAAAAGGAACTTATCGTATGTGAGAGTCCCTTGGTGAAAGTCCGGACGGCGGTAACGTGTTTTCTCCGCAGTTTGGCTGCTACACGT